TGGGTCAGGAAGATCCCCTGGAAGAAGGCATGGCAACCCACTCCAGTATTCTTGCCTGGAGAATCCCATGGACAGAGGAGCCTGAGGGACTCTGGTCCATGGGGTTATACAGAGTCAGACACGACTGAAGCAGCTTATCATGCATGCATGAGTTAAGCGTTCTAAATACAGGAATCAGCTTTGCCACTAATTATCTATGTGACCTCAGTTGCTGCATTCACCTAAAACAAAGGTCTTCAGTAGAAAGTCAGTCCAAGAGAGGATGGATTCTGATTTTGTTTACTCATATAGGCACTGCAAGATTTGTTAAATGACAGAATCTAATAATGCAAGGGAGACATCCCAGGTGGCGCAGTGGTAAAGAATCTGCCTGCCAATACAGGAGACATAAGAGATGCGAGTTTGATCCCCAGGTCGGAAAGATCCCCTGGAGGAGGACATGGCAACCCACTCCAGTATTCTTGCCTGGGGAATCCCATGGTCAGAGGAGCCTGGAGGGCCACAGTCCATGGGCTGCAAAGAGTCGGGCACGGCTGAGCACACAAACACAGACAGTGATGCAAGGGCTTGCAGTAAACGTCTGATGAAAGGCCCTGGCACTGGGCAAAACCAGGGCGGGAATACTGGTTCCATCAGGCACTAGCTGTGTGGCCTAGGGCAAAGCAACTTCTTCTGTCTGTCTTTCACTTTCCATAACAGTATCATGACCCTGAAATAGCATTTATTAACTTTTTAAGATTGTTTGAGAATTTAGTAAGATAGCAGCTCAGAAGTACTTTGAATATTTTCTGCCACACAATAAATCCTTAAAACAGTGGGCTTACATGTTCATTCTTATTTTTTACTGCACCTTTGTCATTCTAATATTCATGAATTTCCTTACTATGGTATCTAGAAACTTAGGCTCACATGGCAGCACATGGACTGAATAGTATCTGTCCTGAGTTTCCCCTGTGGGGATGGCCCTTCTGATCGCTTCAGCTATTGAGAGGATCCTCATGCTTAATTCTCTTTTCCTGGATTGTAAAAATTCTGCACTGCTGAGATATAAATCTGGTGACAAGATCTAGAAATTGTAGAATGAAAGCATCACAGTTCCCAGGGTGCAGAGGCCATGAAACCATGCTGTTCTCATGCTCTCAATCACTACAAAACCAAAAGTTTCACTTATGCCTATTTATATAAGTTATAATAAATAACAACTCTTTCAAAAAAGATCTTCACAATCCAGATAATCTCAATGGTATGATCACTCACCTAGAGCCAGACATCCTAGAATGTGAAGTCAAGTGGGCCTTAGGAAGCATCACTACGAACAAAGTTAGTGGAGGTGATGGGATTCTAACTGAGCTATTTCAGATCCTAAAAGATGATGCTGTGGAAGTGCTGCTCTCAATACGCCAGCAAATTTGGAAAGCTTAGCAAATCGCCAACATTCGCTGGATCATCGAAAAAGCGAGAGTATTCCAGAAGAACATCTATTTCTCCTTTATTGACTATGCCAAAGCCTTTGGCTGTGTGGATTACGACAAACTCTGGGAAATTCTTAAAGAGATGGGAATACCGGACCACTTACCTGCCTTTTGAGAACTCTGTGTGCAGGTCAGAAAGCAATAGTTAGAAGTGGACATGGAACAGGAGACTGGTTCCAAATTGGGAAAGGAGTGCGTCAAGGCTGTATATTGTCACCCTGCTTATTTAACTTCTATGCAGAGGACATCATGAGAAATGCTGGGCTGGAGGAAGCGCAAGCTGGAATCAAGATTACTGGGAAAAATATAAGTAACCTCAGATATGCAGATGACACCACTCTTATGGCAGAAAGTGAAGAAGAACTAAAGAGCCTCTTGATGAAAGTGAAAGAGGAGAGTGAAAAAGTTGGCTTAAAGCACAATGTTCAGAATACTAAAATCATGGCATCCGGTTCCATCACTTCTTGGCAAATAGGTGGGGAAACAATGGAAACAGTGACAGACTTTAATTTTTTAGGCTCCAAAATCACTGCAGATGGTGACTGCAGCCATGAAATTAAAAGATGCTTGCTCCTTGAAAGAAAAGTTATGACCAACCTAGACATCATATTAAAAAGCAAAGACATTACTTTGCTGTCAAAGCTATGGTTTTTCCAGTAGTCATGTATGAAAGTGAGAGTTGGACTATATAAAAAGCTGAGTGCCAAAGAATTGATGTTTTTGAACTGTGGTGTTGGAGAAGACTCTTGAAAGTCCCTTGGACTTCAAGGAGATCCAACCAGTCTATCCTAAAAGAAATCAGTCCTGAATATTCATTGGAAGGGCTGATGTTGAAGTTGAAACTTCAATACTTTGGCCACCTGATGTGAAGAACTGACTCATTGGAAAAGACCCTGATGCTGGGAAAGATTGAAGGTGGGAAGAGATGTGGACGACTGAGGATGAGATGGTTGGATGTCATCACCGACTCAATGGATGTGAGTTTGAGTAAACTCTGGGAGTTGGTGATGGACAGGGAGGCCTGGCATGCTGCAGTCCATAGGGTTGCAAAAAGTCAGACAGGACTGAGTGACTGAACTGAACTGTAATAAATAAATGTAATGAATACAATTTATAAATGCCCCACTGTTTTGACTCCCTTCCACATTAGCAGGGAAATCATTTTATTATTTGTCCAGTTGTTATTTGCCTATCTTGTTGAGTAGCTCTTTGGGGCAGTTTCCCAAAAGTTAGATAGTCTTTATATATTTAAAATAAATGCACACACACACAAACATGCTCATACACACAATTACTCACAAACACCAAAGGGACCACAATATACCTAGTAAGAGCAATTTATAAACCAAAGATTATTACTGGCTAGGCTTCTGACTTAAAGATCATATTCCTCTAATCTTTTCCTTTTTATCTGCCTTAAAATTTCAAATTGAAAAGGCTTATTACTCTTATAAACATTTCATAAAATAATTGAGCTCTCCAAGTTACTATTCTTCTAGTTGATCAGCCCAGGAAAACCTTTGCTTGTCTAATAGACACATTATTTGGATATGTTTAATTACTATTATGTGAAATGACAAATATACTATTCCCAATTACTTTGATAATGTAAACCTACATATTATTAATACTTGTCTTTATTTGGATATTTCTAGTGAAGGTGCAAATTATTCAAAAATTAAATAAGTGCACCTATTTATTTTATATATGGAACTTAAAATTTCCTAATTCTAAAAGTAAAAACATGAGTCTTTACAGAAAATATCTATGTAAACATCCTATTAAGTGCTCCTTTAGCTTATAGGTTTTTTTTCTTCTTCAGTCCATCTTCAACATTTCTGCCAAACTTAAAATTCTGAAATATAGTTCTAATGATTTTTTTTTTGGTGACTTATACAATCCAAAAATGTTTATAGCATGGTCCTATCTTCCTATCCAACCTTCCCAAAGAGTCCTCCTCCCCTCATTAATACACTCTGTTACAGATGCCAGAAGACCATTCACTGTTTTAATACATCATACATTTTCATGATGCCCCCACTATATGGAATTACATCTTTTCAACACATGGAAAACCTTCATTCATTTTTTAAGATTTGGTCAAATATTATCCACATTGCAATTACAAAATGACCAATATCTGCTGATTTAGTTGTATATTATAGGCACATGCTACTATACAATTATGCACATTAGTCATGCACATATTATTAACTTTTATTTAACTCACAGATTATTTGAAAAATCAGTTAAGAGTAATGGAATTATATGTGCCATTTTATATTCCTCTGTAAAAAACAAATCTTCATTTAGCTTTTAAAGCTACACAGAGGTATGTTTCTAGGTTTTGAATTTGCTTCTAAACATGCTTTATATAGTTCTTGTGACTGAAGGAAAACCCTTTAACATCATATTGATCCAAATGGAAAAAGTGCATTATTGATTATGCTTACAGTATTAAGATATTTATTTACCATCCACAGTTTTGCAAAGGTATTTATTGGAATTTCGCTGCTAAATCATCAGTTTCTTGATGACATGAAATGTTCTTGAAAATTCATCAGGAGGTTTGCAATATTATATGTTTAACAAAACCAAATGAAATCATTCATGTAGAAGTTTTTCAAAGAGTCTGTTCCCAAGTGCCTTAAGTATGGAAGAAAAAACTGTTATATCTGATACACTTAAAAAATCTTTAGAGAATATCAGAAAAACATTGCCAAACATTCATTTTAAAGTTATCTTTTCTTGCCATGAATTCCTTAAAAAAAAAGTTGTTTTCTCATTCACTGATAAAATAATGTTCTTATCTTGAAAGTAACAGTTAAGTTTGTTTAGTTAATTATCTTCTAGGTAGCCTATGCTGACAGGCTGTTTTTCCTTCTAATGTGTCTGAGGAAGATTTCAGACAAAGAGTATAAGTGTTACCTCTGCCATTTTCTTGTTTGCTTGTGTTTGCAATTAATAATCTGTAGTCTTCTTGCAGGATAGTTTGTAAGCCCTTTGCTGATCGTGTTAGTCTTAGTTTAATTAAAAATAGATAACATACCTGGTAAATCAGATACATGCAAACTGCAACAACACACAGGAAGCTAAGAAAAGAACTGCAGAATCACATATGTTCTAGATATATGTCCTCCAGATACATTTAGATCATTAAGTTATAGCATATATCCATTGTTAGTAAAGCTTATTTCCTTCCTTATTTTTAAAAATAAAATTAATTTATTAAATCCTTGGAGAAAATCAATAGTTCTTTAGTCTATGATTTTGTAAAAATACGTATGAAGACCTAAACTTCATGACAGCTCTTATTACTTAGTATTTTTGTCATTTACACACTGACAGAAAAAAAAATTTTCTGGGGCAGGGAGTTAATTTTTGAATCTTAATACAGAGCACAGAGCTTGTATGTGGATAATGAGCAACACATTTTTTTGTTTAATTAGTGAATAAATTAATGACTGTTCCACACAAAGATAAACACTAAACTATACTTATTAATACAGTTATATCTGATTTTTGCAGGTACAGGTCCAATATGGCTGAATGAAGTATTTTGTTTTGGGAAAGAGTCATCCATTGAAGAGTGCAGAATTAGACAGTGGGGTGTGAGAGTCTGTTCGCACGACGAAGATGCTGGGGTCACTTGCACTACATAACACATCATATTTTCTTTCACATTTTTTAAACTGTTACAAAGTGATTTTTTTCTTTGCTTCACTAAAATCAGCTTAATTAATATTTAAGAAATTAAGAATTTTGTCCACAGAAAAGGATATTTAAAAATCACTGGATAGACATATAAGACAGCTTCATATTTGCTTCAAATACCTATATCAGGACCATTTCAAGTTCTCTAGGTTTTTAAATGGCATCTTCTAATATAATAACATATATTAGATTGCATATATTGAAGTTTAAGGCTTCTGGATTGCAAATGCCAGTGATAATGGAAACACATCCCAATCACTGGCCACAATTTGTATCTTCACCACAAGATTACATTTTTTGCCTTCTTTGTAATCTATTTAGTTGATTTTAATGTAATTACTTTTTGAATAGTGAGAGGGTTGGAAAGTTTTCTTTTGTGCCAAGTTGGCAAAATCTCCAACCCATACATGTTTCTAAAGGAAGAATCTTAGCTCAAGATTTCTGTGCAGTAACTTAGCAATTAGATAGCAATGTTCATGATATGTTTTGGCCATGATGAGAAACTCATCAGGTTTTCCCTGCTCAAATATTGACAAAGTCATTACTAACATGACTAATCACATGGTCATTAATAATAACATGATTATTTGACATGGTCAAGTGTTGACAGTTTTGTTGCTTTTATTTTTTCTTTTATACTGAACCATTAAGTTAGTTGAAAGCAAGACATATGAGAAAAAGCAAAGGCCCACCATCACTATATGTGTCCATATAATTAGCAGATCAAAAATGTCATTTTATAACATAGAGCTCAGCTTGCTATACATTTTAAACTGAGTAATTTGTTATGATTCTAGGACTGTGTTTAAAAGGTAAGTATATCTACTTACTCAGTCTTAATTAACAGCATGCAAATGTCCTGCCTGCAGAAGCAAGTTTCAGTGACCCATCTCTAGTCTTTCATTAAGAGTCAATGTTTACAACCCAGAGAGAGAGAGAGGTAATCTTCACCACTAAAGGGCCGATGACCCTGAGAAGCCAGAATAGTGCCAAATTCACCCAATAACTCAGTGACTGTGCCCTGCTCTCTAGATGTACAGGTAGAAAGACTAGCAATTTCTGTTGATATTCAACTTAATCTCAGCCCCGAGAAACATAATTTTGAAGTTTCCAAGCCCAACTCAGAGAAACATGTGATTAGAAAACCACTAGTACAGGATAGCCCTACTATTCTTTCTTTAATGATGATAAACAAAAGCATGGTCTTAAGCATATCCTAAAGTCTTCACAAAGAGTATCCAGATAATAGACTTAGTGCCCTCTCACTTGCAAAGGCAAAAATGTTATGTTAGAATTGGAACTACTGGAAATGATCTGCTGAAAATGTACTTTATCACAGTACATTCTTCTAATTGATGTACATAGGTGATTTACTCCAGCAGTGTAGTTTTGTAATTAATTGTTGAAGGAGCCCCATAGCATAGAACCAATCTGCAGATATTGAAAGAGGTAGATTTTGCTGTTATTGTTGCTTTTCTTTGAGTATGTTTGGGTTTCTTTTGTAGAGGTTTATTGTTTTAGCTCCTAGCATTCAAAAACACTAGCTGAACGAAAGCTAAGGAACAGAGGCTTTAGCGACTACCCACAAGAAATAGGCTTTGCAAAATTGTTCAGGGAAGTAACAAGAAAAATAAGACTTCTACAGCCTTAAACAAACAAACAAAAAACCCAGCAAATCACTGGGAAGGAGGAGAATCTACTTTTCAGAGGTACCACATTATAATATTCAAATGTCTAGTGTTCAACAACAACAGCAGAAAAAATCACAAGGTGTATAAAGAAACAGAAAAGCATGATTTAGTGGAAGGAACAGTATGAGCTTTGACAGAAAAGGTCACTGAGGAAGTTTCAATGTTGTGATATTTGACAAAAACTTTAAAACAACTGTTTAAATATGCTAAAAAAAAGACTAAGAATTAAAGAAAACTGAAAACAGTGTACTAACAAAATCAGAATACCAGTAAAAAGAGTTTAAAAAAAGGACAGAAATTTTGGATTTGAAAAGTACAACTATTAAAGTGAAAAATTCACTCAAGGGATTTAATAGTACATTTAAACAAAATAAAGAATTAGCTAAAGAAAAGTAAAAGTATGGTGTAGGGTGCATGTAAGTACTACATGTAAGTACATGTAGGGTGCCCAAAACATGCATTATGGGAGTCTCAGAAATAGCAGAGAATGAGGGAGAGAGAGAGAGAGGAAGGGAGGAAGGGAGAAAGAAAAGAAGAAGGATGTCTGAAGAAATAGTGTGCAAAAGCTCTCAGATTTGATGGATGAGATGGACATGTATATACATGTATATGCACCCAAGGAGCTCAACAATATCCAAGCAGGAAGGATTCAGAGATACCCACACAAAGACACATCATAATAAACTGTCAGAGGATAAAAGAGAATCCTGAAAGCAACAAGGGGTAGCAACTTGTCATATATAAAGGATCCTCAATAAGATTAACAGCCAATTTCTCATCAGAAACCATGAGGTCAGAAGACAAGGTTTAAAGTGCAGAAAAGAAAAAATAAACAACTATTAACCAAGAATTCTCATCTAGCAAAACTGTCTCTTCAAAAAATGGGGGAGAAAGGAAGACATTCCCAGATAAACAAAAGCAAAGGTAGTTTCTTACTATTGGACTTGCCCTGTAAGAAATACTGAAGAGGAGTGCTTCAGGAGGTTGAAATGAAAGAATACTAGAAACTAACTCAAAGCCATAAGAAGAAATAAAATAGCAGGGGCAGGAAAATAGTTTCTTCTTTAAAAAAAAAAAAGAAATTCTACTAATCACTGACAGTTATACTACAAACTTTGAATTTCTTACAATAAACATGCATTATTTATATAGCCAGATTTTTTTAAATTGAAAAATAATAATTTTAGAAATTAATGTTTCTTTACTTTTTTCCCCTGATAATACAGTTGCAGCACAGTAATAGAGAGTAACTTTGTCAGAGATGACTGGGCTCTTTAGAGAGAAGTCACACCAAGTGAGTCAGCTAGAAGTATACATGCGTCCTCTCTTTTTTGGATTTCCTTCCCCTTTAGGTCACCATAGAGCATTGAGTTTAGAGTTCCCTTTGCTAGTATACAGTAGGTTCTCATTAGTCATCTATTTTATACATTCCAGTGTATATATGTCAATCCCAATCTCCCAATTCATCCCACCCCCTCATTCCCTCCTTGGTATCCGTACATTTGTTCCCTGTTTCTGAGTCTCTCTTCCTGCTTTGCAAATAAGTTCATCTATATCATTGTTCTAGATTTCACATATATGAGTTTATATATGATATTTGTTTTTCTCTTTCTGACTTACTTTGCTCTATATGACTGTCTCTAGATCCATCCATGTCTCTGCAAATGGCACGATTTTGTCCCTTTTCATGACTGAGTAATATTTCACTGTATATAAGTGTGTGTGTGTGTGTGTGTGTGTGTATATATATATACCACATCTTCTTTATCCATTTCTTTGTTGATGGGCATTGAGGTTGCTTCCATGTCCTGACTATTGTAAATAGTGCTGTAATGAACATTGTGGTGCATGTATCTTTTTGAATTATGATTTTCTCCAGGTATATGCCCAGGAATGGATTGCTGGGTCATATGGTAGTTCTATTTTTAGTTTATAAGGAACCTTCATACTGTTCTCCATAATGATTATACCAGGTTACCATCCCACCAACAGTATAAGAGGGTTCCCCTTTCCCCACACTCTCTCCAGCATGTATTATTTGTAGATTTTTTGATGATGTCCATTCTGACTGGTATGAGGTGATGCCTTATTGTAGTTTTGATTTGCATTTATCTAAAAATTGGTCATGTTGAGAATCTTTCATGTGTTTGTTGGCCATCTGTATGTTTTGGGGGAAATGCCTGCTTGTTTAGCTCTTTCACCCATTTTTTTTTTTTTTTAGCTACACAAGCTGTTTGTGTATTTTAGAGATTAATCCCTTGTCAGTTGCTTCATTTGCAAATATGTTCTCCCATTCTAAGGGTTGTCTTTCTGTCGTGTTTATGGTTTCCTTTCCTGTGTACCAAGGGCATTTTTCGTGGGGTTGAGAAGCTGAGAGTTCAGCGGCAGCGTGGTCCTCTTTATGCTCGGAAAGTTGCAGAGGGGGCCCCACGGCACCGACAAAGCTCCTCGGGTGGTCTACGTTGCTGCTGGCTGGCCAGGTTTGCAGGGTGGAGCTTATAGCTCCTGCACTTTCCGCTGGAGCCTTGTTCAGTTTCTCTTCTGCTTGAGCCAGGGACACATTGAGCTCTGCGTTGAGTTAACCACTTTGTCCTGCACACCACCTGGCTTATCAGAGCTGGAGGAGTGAGAAATGAATGCAGGTTCCAGCTCATCTCTGTGAGTTCCATTTTGTCCTCGCTCACTCCCTCTCCCAGTTCATGTCCATCCTCTTACTCCTAAAGAGCCCCCTCCTGACTTCAGACCCAGGACCAAACAGGAACACAGCAGACTTGCCTGGAAAACTTAGTCAGCAGCCACAATCCACAGTTACATGAGATTGAATCTCCTCAAGGGTACAAAGGAACAGTTACTTTGGATTTAGAGACTGTGGCCTTAGGCAGAAAAGGGAACAGGAAAATAGAGGACATTGAATAATTGCAGCTGTGAACTCCATATTTAGATTCTCTTCTAGTTTGTAAAGCTTACAGGTAAAACAAGGAATTATTTTGAACTGCTTTGGCTGTGGAACATGTTTTCTGAAGGCAATACCGTTATGAGCCTGAAACTCATAGGTCCAGGTTTTAAAAGTGTTACATAATTTATGAAACTATTGTGCCATAGGTTTTTCTACAGAAATGTCAAGTACACAGAGAATTGTTAAAAGGGAAATTACTATGTTATTTTTAACAACTCTAGAGTTGAATGTAACCCAAAAGCTCTTTGGGGTTCCCTGAATGAAAAAATTTAGAGTTACATGCCTAGGGTAATTTTATGGA